TGTGATGTTAGTGTTTTGGATTTTAGAATCTTGATTTTTTGAAGTTCTGTCTTATTGCTTTTCATTTCATCTGTTCTATTGTGTGTCTGTATTTGCTAATGAAGGCAGATGTGTATTTAAGATGAATTGGCTGGTTACCAAGGCTATAGCAATGAAGAGATATTACTGTTGAAAGACTGTCATTCTCTTATTTATAGAATCATCTCCAAGATACTAATTAAGACCCTTTCTTCAAACAGTTCTAAGCGTAGTTACAGTCTTTGAGTTGCAGTAAATCGTTAAATGTATCTCAGTTGAACAGACTAAGTACATCTTAATATGATTCTGATTCAGTCCTTCACAAAAATATTCTTGAAGTATTATGTATTGCAAGCTTATCAAACAGCCATGGTTTAGTTTGGCCAGTTTTGATCTTTTGTTATGCCAGTGAAGATGTGTTGTTTAAGGTGAAAAAATGCAGTGGAATCTGACAATGTGCAGGTATAGACATTGTGATTATATTTAAAGTCAAGACAGAATTGCCAGCACTCCTCCAAAATGCATTGCATCTTTCTTTGTATGTTGTGATCAGGATAATACAGTAAGACAGCGGTTCCCAGGTAGGGCTGAACGATTTTGGCAAAATATCTAATTGCAGTTTTTCTGACCAATACTGCAATTACAATTGCGATTGTTCAATGCGATTGTTTTCTCTAACTTTAGGTATGGGCCTTTTTTTGGCTACGGAGACCAGCGTACACTTTCTCTGGCTTGAGGCTTGAGCACTTAACACAGTGCACCAACCTGCCAGTTATTTGTGGTTGTGATGTCACAGCACATGGATATTTGGTTGTGTCTGATTAGTCAAATTCATCTAAAAGCAGTTCACAAGCTCCATGTTTTTTGGTTAAATTTCCCTGCTTAAAACTTGCAACGAATCAACGGTGTTGATAATACACTATAAGACTATAATACAAGCTGCAGCCTTTGCAATTTGAAAATTGCACTCTTTTAAATTGCGATATATATATAAAAACGAATATTCTTTCAGCCCTACCCCCAGGCAAATATAGACAAATGACGTTAAAACCATTTTTCCCCACTTTCTGACACAAAAGAGTTTGATCTAGAATGTAACAATTGTTTCAAAATGTATCTTTTACTTTCCAGTCCATAGTGGCCATGTATGAAAACTAAACAGCAAAAATCAGCCTGTGTAGGATTCATAATTTTTCCGATGTTACAAATACACATTTACATATATTCATCTCTCCAGCCTGCATTGTTTTAACTCCACCCATTCATGTTAAAGTTATAAGGAGTGTTTCCACCAATCAGAACATAGCTTATTTACATTTATTATTTTTTGAGACAAAGTACAAAATCAGTTTTTTTTTCTAAGGGATAAAGAAAGATCGGAAAATGTCATGTAAAAATAAAGATAGGAAAGATCGGAAAATGACCGGTGACTGTTTTTTAGGCACATAACAAAAATATCATAATGGATCTCATGGAAAAAAATAAAATGCGGGAAAAATGTAGGATAAGGCTCCTTTAAACTCTAATCAGCCAGACTGGGTGTTCGAGCCCCCTCTATAGGATGTAAATGTGTATATAAGAGCAGATCTCTCTGTGTCTCTCTGTCCCCTCCTCCTCTCTCTCCCAGAGATCAAATGGGTTGCTCGCCCTGCTCCCCTGTGTCTTTCATTGTAAACGGCAGTAGTCCTGGAGGAGAGTGAAGGAGAGGAGCTTGTTAACCGCTTGTTGCTCTCATCCATGCATATACAGTGAAGTCATACCTTCCATGGCTTGTTTTGCTCACCGGTGATGTCATTGGCAGCCAATCAGCAGGCGGTGCTGCAGTAGGTAGAGGATGCAGGGGGGGAGTCTGGGGTATATGCATGGGGACGCACTGGCAGCAGCGCGCCGCTCATCAGCACATCGTTATGGCCGATGGATGAAGGAGAGAGAAAGAGAGAGAGAGAGAGAAAGAGAGAGAGAGAGAGAGAGACAGCAGTGGCAACTGAGAATATTTAATCACAGCTGCGGGCTTCATCATTCAACTCCGCAGCCTTCTGTGACATGTCTCAGTATGGAAAAGAAACACCTGAATAAGGCAGCATTTTAAACCTGCTGTGTCAGATGTCCTGTTTAACCAATTATGGTCCCATAGTACTTTGGACATTATCCTATACTGTGGTTAGAAAGAATTTGCTATAACAGCATTTTCTAAGCAGCATCAGATGATATTTAAGCTTGCATTGATTCAATTAGCGTTTCATGAGTACTGTTACTCTATACTAGAGGGATGCAAACCTGACATATTTTAATTTTTCTGGCTGTTTTGTTCTGTTTTATTCTTTTAAAAGGACAGCAAAGGCAGCCTATTTCTAGACGTGGTGTATTTCTGCTATTGTGAAACCTTGAACATTGCTTTTACTATAATTGTGATAGATATAGTGTTTGTTGTATATAGTGTATATATATATATATATATATATATATATATATATATATATATATATATATAAATATATATAGTGTTGTATAAAAGCAGAGTATGTAGCTGTAGCCTGTGTTAAGGTAATTATGTCAGTCAGACTTTTATTCGGCTGTGACCTCTAGCCAAGGTGACTCCTGCTTCTAAGAGCACTGAGGAAAGATGTGTGCTTTCAGCATCCTGAGCTTCAGCTGGGAGAGATGATATTTATCTTTGTCTGTTTCAGTGATTCTCAGCTGTATTTACAGAACGCTCTAATGAAACTGCCGCAGAGTCGAGTGTAAGAGTGGGTTGAAGCCAATTATTTAATGCCTATTTTGTTCTTCTCTTTTCCGTTAGAGATTTTGCACTGCCCATGCCTGCCTAATGTTAACTGCAAAGCATAAAACACATAATATAAATAACATAACTTTGTATTTTATGAATTCTTTTATAATGTGTTAATAGGGCTACATGATTTGGACAAAATGCCATATTGCAACTATATCACTGCATATTGCAATTGGGATTTGCCTTGCGCATTGGTGAACCCTCAATGCAACATAGATGTGGTTTAGCCTAGGTTATATGTATGTAGTGGTTGGTTAGAGGCTCATTTGCATATGGCTTCTGCAGTGGCAGTATTGCAAAGGCTAATATCATGATAACAGTTATCAAATTATATATTGTGCAGCTCTGTATATTAAAGGGGAATTCCACTGAATTTTCCAAATTCCATGTAATTAAAAATTTAAGATGTAAAGTCATTCAGAATTTATTGATATGAAATGTACCGTTCTACAGAAACTTACCAAGTCAGAGTTGTTAAAGGGGAAATGATTTTTCTAAACTTCTACATAATTCAATTATTGAGATGTATACAAAGTCATTCAGTGTAGTTCGATGTTCAGAGATCAATTGTAAACTTACTAGTTCTGTTTTCTTTACAGTGGCTTTGATAAGATCCATGTCATGCAATATCTAATACATTTTAATAATTTTATTTGCTATTCAGAGTGACCAGTGAACCTACACATGTCTTCTGAGTTTTCATACGTGTGATAATGATAAAATAGTTTTCTGCGAGGGAGCTTTTAGGGGCATTCAACTCTTTGGATGTTTGGTTCCTATTACCAATTCTGACTTGGTAAGTTTCTCAAGAACGGAGGATTTCACATCAAACCACTCTGAATGACATTTTCTACATCTTACCCATTCAATCGTTCTGACAGTTTGAAAAAATCGGTGGTATTCCACCTCAACAGTGGTGGTGATATGTACCAGATTCCCAAAGTGCATACAGAATATCAATACATGAAAAGATTGGGAATATTTCCTGGTTCCTGAGACTTTGATTAATGATAGCTTTGAGGTGTGATTTTGGTCTAAAAAGTATTTGTAGTGCATTCATGGTGGACAGATAAATGCAGGACATTGTAAAGCAAAATAGTGCCCAAAGAAAGACACTTTCTTCAGATTTACAACTATTTTACCATTATCAATATTACATATAAAACTCAGGTTCACTGGTTATTTTGTAAATAAAATGGCTGTATTTCTGTGTAGACATCATGGCCCCTGATGCCTTTCACCACCAAACAAATTCAAACTCAGTAGGTTTTGTTCACATTCCAAAAAAATTGAAAAATCAGTGGAATTTCCCTTTAATCAGATATGTGATGAGCAATGCTGAGTATTTCTGTAGTGCTCTGTGTGCTTAAAGCAGCAGAACTCAGCCAGGGTCGAGTAAACAGGGATGAATGAGTGTGTGTATTGATTTATAAAATAGCCACACTATATCCGGTTATAGAGTTTACTCATGCAAGAATTAACTGAAAATCAATGCTCTGGTAGAACACATAGCCTGGAGTCTCATTAGTGACATAGATTTACTATGCAACCAGCCTCTTTCTTGGTCAACTTGTACTGAAGGTATTTTGCTTGAGTCATGGCACTGACTTTAAAAGGCTCATATCATGTAAAAAGAATTCTTTTTTAACAAAAGAGAGGTCAACATTCAAGTTTTAAAATGTGCCATTCATTCACTGCTCCATGTGTTCTGTATGTGGAATCTAAACTGCAAAAACAAGTAAATATGCAGTTGTTGTTTTGGAGATGGCATAAAAACCAATGCACTTACATATATCTACCAGTTTGACCTAGAGCAGCAAGCCCATTGATAATGAGAGTTTCAGCCTAGGCTGCTTACTTGATTCAAATGTGTACATCATTTTCACATCAATAAAATATGATACATCAGCACAGATATTGCCAACAGTACATAAATGAAAGACAGAACTGTGTTATGTAATACGTTTTATTCATGTGGAAATGATGCATACTTTTAAATCAGTTAAATTCAGTGCATTACTTTTTCCAAAGACCTATATAATGGACCTATAAGGAGCTCATACAGTGCTTAGTGAGTGTAAGTATTTCCAGTAAAGTGGATGGTGGGTGTATAGACTGCACTTCCGCCACTTTTTTCCATGTGTTGGTGAATGATGTTGCTCATTGAGTGTGTCTGTGTGCTTTGCTGTAGGTGCCCACGGAGTCAGAGAGGAGCCCCAGTTTGTGACGGCCCGTGCTGGGGAGACCGTGGTTCTGGGATGTGACGTGTCCCACCCGCTCAACGGCCAGCCCTACGTGGTGGAGTGGTTTAAGTACGGAGTCCCCATCCCCTTCTTCATCAACTTCCGCTTCTACCCTCCCCATGTGGATCCGGAATACGCCGGTGAGCTTCCAGAACCATGACTGCATTACATTAGTCATGCACACACACACACACACACACACATTGTTTTTATACCTTTTTTAGAATATGAACGTATTGCTGCTTTTGAAAAAAAAATATGTATCTCCATTTTTGTTGTTTTTCAGTTTTTGACATAGTTTGAAAATGTCTGTTGCCCTTTACATTGTTTGTAAATTTAATGGAGAATGGACCAAAAGAAACAGCCCAAAATTATTTGGAAAAACGTCTGGTTCCGTTGACTTGAAAAAAGTAGGTTTTTTCCTTTTCCTGTAAAGTTATCATTTTGGAGATATTCCGACAGCAGCGATATGTATGTAAAAACTAGATGTACCACACATTTTTGGGGTACATCAAAAATTTTTATGGTCAGTTTGGTTACTGATTACTTTATAGCCAAAATGGTCAATGACTGTTTTTTGGCTGATTTTTATTAGCCAAAACTCACACTGTGTGAACAAAACGATCACATGAAATACATATAATACAAATAAATAACATAATTTGTTTTTACTGAGCCAAACAGACGTGTTAAATTCTAATAATCAGTTGTCTGTTTTGCCCTGCGATGGACTGGCATCCTGTCCATGGTGTATCCTGCCTTCCACCCAATGACTGCTGGGATAGGCTCAAGCACCCACCCCTCCCCCTTGGCTAACTAAAAAGAAATCATTTTGCACTTTCAGTGCTAAAAAAGCAACATCCTGTAGCTTTTGTAAAAAAAAACACTTTAGAGAGTTGTAAGCATTACAAATTAGCCCAGTTTTGTCCCAAAAATATACAGAAACAAACAAACATGCACACAAACAGAGCATACCTCACTACACTGAGCTTTAATACCATTAACATTATTAATGCTCTTTAATAAATTAACCCTTTAACCAGTGTTTCTTAATCCTTTTCTTGGCAACCCACAGCGCTGCACAGTTTCAGGTGTCTCTTGACTCAACACCCCTGATTCAGCTCATTAACTGATTATGGAGCCCTTCTTGAGCTGGATCAGGTGTGTTGGGGCAGGGAATAGTTGAAGCTGTGCAGTGGTGTGGGTCACCAGAAACAGGATTAAGAAACACTATTTTGAGCCCTAGAAGCCTGTATGTGGTCCCACACCTCGGTTCCTTACTCTCATAACTACATAACGTACATGTTAGTTTCATAGAAGTCACTGAATAATGTAATAAGATTGATAGCTGCATTATAGGCCTGGAGTTCAAGAGGTTTAATATGCAGATTTAAGATCTCCGCCAAAAAAGTGATGCAGAGATTCCACATTATTATTGCACAGTGCACTTATGTAGTCTGGATAGTCTTTGCCGTTTATATATACTGTAAGTGAATACTGTCTTTTTTCCTTCTGGGGTAAATAGTCCTTTAGCTTCATTTGTGCACATTGAAAATGTACTGAAACGCAATTAGCCAAATCTAGTAGAAATGGCTTCATTCCAATTAGAATATTTTCACTCTTACTCTAATATGCAATAAGAAATGACTGAAAAGTAATCTGTGTTTAGTTGTAAGCCATGCAGGAGATTAGTTTCAGTCTACATCAGATAAAAAGATTCTCCATTAAAACGTCTGAACAATTACAGGCTTTTTGGTGCAACAAATGACATTCCCTAATACAAACCTTAATTCAAAGAAATGCAAAGAAACAGATAGCAGAGATTTGTACACCCATTTAGACCTGTATTTAAACAAAAAAAGACAGGATATTCAGTGTTTCACCTCGTCATCATTGTTTTTTGAAAATATGTGCTTATTCTGAAATTGATACCGGTGACATGTTCCAAAAAAATTGGGGCAGGGGCCATACAAGACTTGGGACATTGTGAAATGTCCAAAAAGCATCTTATCATGCTCTGGTATAAAAGGAGCATCTAGGAAAGGCTGAGTCCTTTGTGAGCAAGGATGGGTTAAGGCTCATCGCTTTGCCAAAAAATGTGTCAGCGAATAATCCAACAGTTCCTCAGTGAGCATTTGCAAGGATTTTAGGCATTTCACACTCTATGGTGAATAATATCATCCAAAAAGTCATGGAATCCAGAGAATCTCTGTATGTAAAGGGCATGGCCAAAAACGTCAACCCAACGCCCATGACCTTTGATCGTTCAGATGGCACTCCATTAAAAAATGCTTCTATGATGGATATCCACATGAGCTCGGGAATACTTTAACAAGTTAAGACTATCCAATGCACAGCGGAAGCCATATCAAAGCATTGACTACTCTGGGCTCTATGCTCAGTGGAAACCTGTATTATGGTCTTACAAGCTTCATTGCTCAAATCCGATTTTTTGCTCAAATCTATTCTGTCTGACACGATGGTTCACACTCGTTTAGGTAAGTGATTCAAATCTGTCATTAATGTGAATGAACCGGCGTCCTGAAATGACCCGCATGCGCACATCTTACTCAGTAACGTCACGTGAATGAATCACGTGCGTCACGTGCATCATCAGCAAACAAAGGAGCAGAACGAGCCTGTAAAGATAATTAACTCTGATCAGCTCTCAGCTGTTCATTATTAGAGCGAGACGAAGGCGAAAAAGGTGAGATGTGTTGCTTTTCCACCGTTTACAGCTTTAACTTCTGTTTGGCGCTGCTGACATGGTAACGCTGAATGATGGCATGCGCAGTGGGAAAAAAAACACATGAATTCCCATCTGAGCGTTCACATTAAGGCCGCATGGCCACGAATCGGATACATATCCGATTTAGGACCACATATGAAAGTGACTCAGGTCGGATTTGAAAAGATCAGATTTGTGTGTCCACACAGCCCTGAAAACATCAGATCTGAGTCACATTAGGGCAAAAAATCAGATTTGTGCCACTTCAGCCTTGTAATGTGAACGTAGCCTAAGAAGACTATCCCGATTGTTTCCAGTATAAAGTTTCAGAGTCTGTCATGGTATGGGCGTGGCCATGGCATTAATAACTTGCACATCTGTGAAGGTTCCATTACACTAAAACATACATGCACATTTTGGAGCAACATATGCTGCTTTCTAGTCAGTGTCTTTTTCTTTTTCATTACAATGCCAAGCCACATTCTGCATGTGTTAAAACAGTGTGGGTGCATAATCAGAGAGAGTTCAGATGCTAGACTCACCTGCCTGTAGTCTACATTTTCAGTCTCTCATTGAAAACATGTGGTGCTATATGAAGCACAAAATACCCTATACAGTTGTGCAACTGAAGACTTGTATAATGGCAGAGTGGCAAAAATTCCTCTTTCATTCTGCGTCAGTTGGTTTCTGCAGTCCCCAACTAATTACTAAGTGCAGTTAAATGGAAAAGAGATGTAACACAGTGGTAAATATGCTTTTTGGGAACATGTTGCAGGCATCACATTTGGAATGAGTGTGTCTTTACAAAAACAATGAAGTTCATAAGACACATAAGACACTTTGTGCTGTTTACAACTTCAAACTGGAATTACAAACCACTACTTTCTGTTTTTATTTGCATTTTTCATAATGTCACAACTTTTTGAAAATGAAGTTTATAATATGTCTTATTCAACAAATGTGCTTGAAATATGAGAGCGACATTCTTTTAGCATGAGAAAATCACACCACTTTCACAGTGTTTGCACAAGATTTGAAATATGACATAAGTCAAGAAAGCAATCTTTGTCATTAGAAAGTGATGAATGTTGAAAAGGGAGTATGTGAAGTATGGTATACCAAAATTACAGGACATATAGACTGTTTTTACTCTCTTTCATAAAAATATGTCCTACAGTTTCCTAAAACACAATGTTGAGACACAACCCTTTATTCTGCACTGTTGGATACAGTATGTAGCAGCCCAGACCTCCAGCAAGGTGCATGAGGTACAGTACTACAGATCAGCTTGAGGGGAGTGGATGATTGGGGCAGTGTGGGGGGCGGGGGGGGCCGATCAAATGTAATGTTTTATTCTCAAATCTAGATTAGGAATTACGCCATTGATACGGAGTTGGAGACAGAAAGGGCATCATTTAAGAGCATGTCAGATTTATGAAAGCAAAGAACTTTGATAGTTTATCAGATGTCGCTAAGGGCAGGATATGCAATTTTAATGGCTTGTGCTCACACTGAATGATAATGAGATCGAAAGGAAATTTTCCCCTCTTACGCTCACTCCTGAAATCTCGGCTGAATTTTCCAGCAGCAGCTTTAACATATTCCTCAGCACCGAGCAGAAATTTTGAAACGTTGTTGAAAGGATTAAGATATTCAGACCCCCAGCAGCTCTACCAAGCTCTGTGTGCCTAGCTTCAGAGCATATTGCATACAAATGTGCGTTACCTAAATGTGCTGTAGACTAGCTCTCTGCAGTGCATGCTGCGACACTATTATTTTCTAAAGTGACTGTGTTCTTTAGTAGTCACAGGAGGAGCACAGCTGTATAGAAAATCAGAAAAACACAGTATTCACCAGTATATTATGTATTTATGAACATCAGAATTGTTCTTGATATGGATACAACAAACAACATAGAGCATACAGCGCAATCAGGTGCATAAAGACATGTAATGTATGGTCCTTCCAGGTATTTGTGATCTCAAATTCATGCAAACAAACCCTTGCAATATTTGAAAGGGCTTATAATTTTGTCCAGTCATTGGCCTATTACTGCATTAAATGTGTAAATTATATGAAAATGAAAACATATTACATGTGTTTCATTAAATGTAAAGCATGTGGATGCGGATTTCGAACTTGCTCGAGAATGGTTTTTGCACGTAAGTCGCTTTTGTAGCATGATGTAGGAAGAACACAGCAGAACCTAGTAATGCATATATTTGTAGTCATAACTTTCAAAACGACTGCACTGCTGCCAGTCATGTGGCAGCAGTGCAGTACATAAAATCATGCAGATGCAGGTCAGCAGAATCAGGTCAAGTCCACATCAACCATCAGAATGGGGAAAAATCTGATTCCACTTCTGTCAGCCAAGAACAGAAAACTGGGGACAGTTGTATATTGTAAAAA